TTGTTGCCACCATCAACGTTGTAATTCGTGTGGTCACTTACATTGTAAGATCACCACCAGCCTCGTATCCAAGCAAAAACTGGTTCACAGAGGAGGATAAATATTTGTATATTTTTGTCTCTATCATCGGTGTTTTAGGGCACCGGTTGGGCTTTGGCTGTCGAAACATATCAATTAAACACGCTTCAAGATTATATTACCGTGTATCTTAATCATTAATGGCGTTACCATGATTGTAACAGGTTCTTTCGATTTGTAAAGTTTTTCCTTGCTATATACTCTCGATTTAGAAATTTTGTCAATTGACAATAATAAAGAATGTAAACGATAAGACCGAAAACATTTTTGGAAAGAATCACAGGGCTTAATCATTTTCTCAAGTATCACACTGATATAACAGTGGTTTTGTTGGTGACGATGTTCTTTATAAAGAAATTTCTGAAGAAAAATCTGCTCAAAGGTAAAGTTGTCGGCTTTTTCTCCACCAAGAAACTGAAAACCATTGTTGGAATGCATTGGCACAAAAAGCTCGTGGTACTGTTCTATCTTCGCACGTTTATTCGATCGGGTATATCAGACCACTAACTAATTGAGCATGTATTCTTCTACTTGTTAACATTATAACGTAAATAAATGAGGTTTTGTTCGTGTTTCATCTTATGTAAGGGAATCCAAGACAGTCTTGGATTACGGATTCGTCACCGTGGATTCCAGATTCCAGGTACTGGATTCCAGATTCTTTGTCCGTGAAACTTGAATCCCGGATTCCAATTGTTACTGGGAGTCTGGATTCCTTGAGCTGTTTTCTGCATTTCAAAGTCCAGGGTTCCGGATTCCACAAGCAAAACTTTCCTGGATTCAGGATTCTAGAAGCAAAAATTTCCTGGATTCAGGATTCCACAAGTAAAAATTTCCTGGATTCAGGATTCTGGAAGCAAAAATTTCCCGATTTCTTTATATGGGGGGACGTGTTACATGATTGGCATCATGACGAGGTCGATGAGGTGTTTCAAGCGTTTGATTGTAAATTACCATAATTATAATAGTGTTTTTTTTTTCAATTTATCATAACCGGGTACCGAGGAGTAGCATAAACAAATAATTAAACGAGTAGATATACCTAAAGACAAACGGGAGAAAACAGATATGTACAGGAACAGTTAGTTAGAATATTGTGTGTAGTTACCGTTTATCGTTACTTTTTTTCTTTCGCTGATGCGTTTGTATCAATTGTGTCCGATTTCAGTGAGTACGAAAGAAGTTGGAATAAAATGTTAAAAATTTGCATTGCTTTGCTCCGCCCTCAATCTCAACAGGTCCTCCCCTTTTCCCGTAAATTAAAAAAAGTTCATTTTGACAAAATTGGGAGAACTTAATTGTATTCACGAAGGAAGAAATTATTAAAAGTAACGACAGCCATCCCAAATGATCAATGTTGTCGGTGTAAGAAGAGCGGCCGTTACATATCACGTGTGACATCACACAGCGTCGAAGGTTTGGATGGCCTGCCTGTGCTCTGAAAAGTGTGGAGCAAGGTGTTCCCGCATCGATGGTATTTAGACACCAGATATTCTGTGAAAAATTGCTCTACTGTAATAATAGATTCTTCAAAGGGCAGTAAGATAAATGTATTGAATTAAAAGGTTTTATGTTGGTTTCGAACTGTTCATTATTTCCAAGTTCGAAACGCCAATAGCCAATTTCGATTTGTTAAACGTGAAAGACTGGTAACGAACCTAGGGCTCCAAAGCGAGGCTCCGGGAAACACGGCGCGAAGTAATAATAATAAAAAAACATCACTGAGAAGAACGCCAGGTGTTTCGGTAATTCTTACGAACCTCAGTGCTTAATGTCGTGGTCAAGTATTGAGGGCCTGGATGGGGTTAACTGACAACTGATTTTAACTGACAAGTGACATATTTGCCCAAAAGTGACTAAGATGGGGTCTATAATTGGCCACAAAATAGACTATAATGGGGAAGGGGCTCTGAGAGGCCAGAGGCACATACCCAGCAAAGCTTAACCCAAGTACCCCCTCTCCCCCACCCCCACCCCGGGGTTTGAACACTTCCGAAGCTACTTAAAAAACGACATTTTCAGCGTGCTTTGATATCGTTAGTCAAGAACACAAAAAAGGACAAAAAAATCATCATGTGTTAAAGAACAGTTCAGGTGTCTGGATTTGTGAGTCAGGCGTGAAAAATTGTCCTTAATGCGTGGGATCGATGTATTTAGTCCACAGGCATGTCCGGGAGGCATGATGCGTGTACAATATTCTGGCATAAATATTGATTGGCTTAATTGTTGGAAAAGACCTGAGAAATGGAGGGTCACTTGAAACGCTTACAACAGCAAAACTGATAAAAAATTAAGGTGCTATTGCATCAGTTGTCGAATTTAATGTTTAATTTACATTATATGTGCCTTTCAAGCTAGATTTCGCATCACAAATATACAAATAAGTTTCATAGTTGATCATTAATAACTATTTAACTGACAACTGACAAAAAGCCTAAAATTTAACTGACAACTGACAAATGGTTTTAGTCATTCTATTTTCAAAAATCAACATTAATATAGCCAAAAGCGTAAATTTCGTGTCTATTGGGATTAAGTGTTTTTTGTAACATAATTTCATTGGTTTCGAAATTGTTCTAAGTTGCTAGTAAGATGTATATACCTGCAGCCTATAATCACGTTCCTTTTGTCTTTACCAGCATTAATTTCTGCCCAGCGAGATTCAACTTGTTCCGTATTAAATTTAATCTCAAGTCTAAGTATACCTTTAAGATTGTCGGCTATATATAAAGCAGCTCCACCCGCGCTTGTTCGCGAAGCAGAGTGGTAAAAGTTATAGCCTTTGATATTAATATTGGCAATCTATTTATCACCTAATTTAGTTTAACTAATGTTAAAGCAATTTTTTACATCGTTTTTAACCAAAGTTCGCACTGAAGTCCATTTCTAGAGGCTATTTCAATCTTCATCTTGGATGAGTATGTACTCATTAGCATTTTCCTGTTGTCCGCAACTACATCCACACCAGGGGTGGCAAACCAGGTAAAAACACTGCTTGAGGCAGGAAGACACTTTTCTCCAAGTAGACTTCAAGTAAAGGAATCCCTTAACTAAAAGAAAAGCAAAAAAGGTCATCATTAATCAGAATGATGAAGAGCATTGTTGAAAATACATGTAGAAGGTAGAGAAAATTCGCCCCTTGCAGATTCACCTCTTCAAAATCGTGAACTAAAATATAATTGTTATTTCCCAACTCATTTTAAAAATAACTCATGAAAAGGAAACAAAGGGAACCACTACAGCGAGGATTGGATATCGGTTCTTAATTACCGTATAAAAAAATGTGAACTTTAGCTTTGAATTTCTTCATCAATCCAAAAATTATTATTCATCTACGAAGCTATATCAAACACTCCACCCAGTGTTTCATCCGATAAATAATCTAGAAATGGGACTTAATTAAACATTAGCTTGGTTACACTTCGTTTTTCAACCCACTTCTCGTTATCTGGAAATCGGATAAATTACTGGGTGTCGTGTTTGATTTACTAGCCCGAATCATCTTGTGATGGTGATGGTCCTTATGATGATGGTGATTACAACAAGCCAGAAGCTCGAATTTTCTTAAAACATCAGAAGCTGACACCACGGCAACAATAACACAGTGGCTTCCCGTAGTTGCTTCAATTTGTTACAAAGCTTTTAACTCATGCATCAATTACATTTGCGTTTGACTTCAGGAGAACACAACATAAAGTCAATGCTCGAGAAGCCTAGACACGGAAAGAAACTCGATTTTTATTAGAATGGGTCAGGTACCGGAAACGGAAATAGATAGACTTTAGACTTCTCGTTCCCAGAACCCGTCGTTTCCTTTGAAGGAGCCCTTTGGAGAAAAATCATGTTAAGAAATGCAACGGGGGATATTAAGAACGTTCAATTCGGGTAACTTACAGTTGAATACACAACAAACATCAGCTGGACATACTGTTGGTTTGCAGAACAAAGGCAATCGAACATAGCTCACTTCAGAAAAGAGTGATAGCCTGGGACCCGAACTAGGCGCGCACGAGTTCATGGGATTATTTGGGGGCGACGTGAATGTAAACAAACATGGCGGAAAGCGGAGTGGAATCTTTAAGCGGAGTTAAAACAATTCAAAATAACAAAAAGGAAGGTGGAATTGAAAGAAAAAAAAACATGAAAATGTCAAGCTGAAGGAAGATGTGCCTGGGAGATTTTACTTCGAGAAAAACTAGAAGAATGCAAATCCGTGTGCTATCGGAGTTCAACTTCAAATTAGCGTTCCGAAACAAACGTACATATTCTCGCTGGATACGTCTTGTCTTTGGTATTCTATAGAATGCCAGACCAGGGGAGTTCCTGAAGTTACTTGTTCACAAAGGCACACAACAACTTGCATGCCTCGTCATAACACAAGGTGGCTGCTCATTTTGTCCCCACAAACAATCCCATAAATACGCGAGCGCTTAGTTTTGGTCCCAGGCTATCATTCTTTTCCGAAATGGGCTATTACGAATTGGGAACTGTGGGAAATCTCACATTGTTTATACATGTTATGCTAAAAGAACAATTTCATTACACAGAGTAATAGACTCAAGTACCAGCCGTTCTGGGCGCCCTTAAGAGCTCTTTTGAATTTCCAAAATGCTCTGGTGTATTCAGTTCGTTATATATAATACTAATACTATATTATAGTATTATATATAATATATAATACTAAGAACGTTTTTATATTTCACTCTGGTTGTATTTATTGAAGATACTGCGCTGATTCTGCGCTGACACTAAACTTTTTTTTTTTTTTAAAAAAAGAACGTGGCTCTGCCAAACCCATTTCCCCGATAAACTCGTCCCCATAGTTCACTGAATCGTACAAACTTCTCCACTTTGGTGATATTCATCTGCAACCGCAATTGGGCTATCTAATACTCCCCCCCCCCCCCAGCACCACCCGGTTGGACGGGGTAGGACCCATATTCTTAGGGGTAAACCAATATTTTATGGAAGTTTTCAGAGGTGAATGCAATTTCATTTAATCTCCTGGAGTAAGAAGAAAAGGTAGAACCACAACCGGGGGGTAGGGATATTAAATGCAGTAGGCCATTTCAAAGGTAAACATTTCAACGCACGTACTATTCCCTGCTTTGAAATAGTGTATTTTGACGCATACGTATCCTTCTTCCTTTTTTTTTCCACAGGACTGATCATTCAGCATTCATAGGAATACTTCTACGAAATATAGAAAAATTTCACTAGTTACATTAAGGAGTCTCTGAAAGGCAGAACTCACCTGCAGCCAGGATCAAGACGGAGCTGTTAAGGAGAAGGAACAAAACATTGATGAAAATGGAGTCGTTTTCCACGTGTTTTTTCCTTCCATCAGACTGACCATATAAAGAGCCAAGGCAAACGTTGAAAAATGTTATCCAAAGCACAAACGTTTGGAGACGATCTTCAAACTTTCCTTTGATGGGCCTAAAAAGGGTGTAGGCTATCCCCGAGGCACTTGTTATGACCAAAGTGAAACCAATCTGAGAGTGGCTTTCTGACCCAAAAAGAAGAATCAAGGAGATAAGGAGAAGTTTGCGGTACATTTCAAGTGTTTCCCAAAACCAGTATTTCTCCTTGTAATTTTCAAAAAACACCCTCAAGCCGAAGGCAATTTCTTTCTCCGTTTCCGCCTGTCGGTATTTAAAAATGGGAAGCAGCAGCATTAACGGAAATGCAATAGGATAAAAGACAAATACTGCAGCAATTTTCCAGAAGATCTTGTGCCGAGGCGTAAAGCAGTGGATGGAGTAATCAGCCCTCAGTAGGGAGATACAATCGCTTTTACTGAAGCACACGTTGACACATACACCAGGCAAGGGCAGAATGTCAACGATCTTCTTGCTTGTCACTGGGTAAGACAACAGAAGAAATAAGAAGATGTTGCGGTAGCAAGACTTTTTCAGCCTCGATATTTGGATCATCTTTTCGCTCATTGAATCCTCCATATTGTTTATGTAGCGTTTCTTCAGGAAGAGGTAGAGAAGAATAAGGGAAACAACAAATATGTTTATGCCAACAGCGAGAGAAAATTGTAGGAATGGATCTGGACGCAATTTAGAGTAAATGCAGCTTAAAGGTGCGAACTTCAGTATGTTACCCTCAACTAAGTTCAAATATTTTTCCATGGAGTTTAGAATAACAGGCCATCGAACATACACAAGCGCAGAAAAAATTCCAGCAATGACTTGATAAAATCCAATAACAATTTTGCAACAAGACATAACGACATCTGCAACCGTACGATTGTTTTCTGTGCGTTTCGAGTCACCCCAAAGAACCACTAAAAACACCGCAACAAATACCAGAATTACGACTACGCATGATATGACTGTGTTAACCATTCTTGGGCATTCCAGGCACGTGTTAAATCGGAGGTAGTGGTTGATAGAGCATGAGGCACATAAAATTCCTTTGAATTTGTCTTGACAGGATGAATCAACTCCGCCATTACAGGATCTAGGATATGGACATTTTTGGGGCTGGGGTAACGTTCCCTGAAAGCTGGAGAATCTTTTGTCGTATGGAGGCTCCAGTGTGTAAATATTTTCAAGGAAGTTTCTATAGAACCGTTTTTCCTTTTCGCTTGGCCATTTCCAATAATAATTTGGTGCTAGAATTGCTGTATCGTTGACACACTTTAGACCGTGAGCAGGGCATTCAGAGCAGGGGCCAAAACGATCCATGCGGTAAAATCCGCGAAGGCATTTGCATGCGCGATGACCAGCAGTTTCATTGGAAAGTGTACCTACCCATATACAAGTAAAACGATTTAGTACTGAGAAATTTGAAACACTGAGCTTCAAACCACTGAACAAGCAAAATCTCAATAACATAGTTTAAAATGGTTTACGTAACTATTGTATTTATTTAACTGTTTTAACTTAAATCTATATATCTGCCTGGATTTATGAAAACAGGGCTAGCAAACATTTTGTAATTTCTCTCAGCTTCCGCTGTCTTAGCTTGTTTACTGTGTTGTTTACTTGTCATTTTTTTTGGTTGTTTTGTGGTTAGGGATTTTTGTAGGAGTGGCTGTAGCCAGATTTTCGCGAATTTCTACCCAACCCACTCTCCCTCCCTCCCTTTTTGCACTTTTTTCTCGTCCCTACCCACAATTCTCTGTCTAACACAAGTGACAGTTATTTAAAATCAGTGCGCGCCTATGAAAAAGCTGGTTCTTTGCGGTTAAGCAGTTCACATTTCGTTATTGGTCACCTTGAGAAAAGTTTCTTGGAGGACATCATGTAAAGCTCTGAGATGGGTTAAAGTTAATACGATTCGCGGAGTCTGCATCTTCCAATATCGAGAGTTAGTTTTTTTTTTTTTTTGGTGTGGAAAGAGGGTCTATGCTGGTCTGCCGACCGTGTGACTGTACATCCGGAAACTTGAATAAGACGAGTGTAAGAGAAAAGTCAAGAGGTGTTTATCTGCCAATAGGCTGAGTTTTTCCGAGTTTTTTTTTTTTTAATGATATTTGACTTGCGTTGAACGTGAGAAGATTATACGTGGTTGTGGATAGTCGTATCAGTGCCGCGAAAGTGTGTGATTGTGTGATTTCCGCATGGTGTTGACAGGCAGAACTCAGGTGTGTGGTCGCGTGGTTGAGCTGTCGGCACCAAAATATTCTGTGCCAGCCACAAAAACATTTCGTCGGTGTTTAGCTTAGCTGATTGTACCTTGCAAAACCAATTCTAGACACAGGAAAATTGGATCTAAGTCTAGTTTCAGCGAGCTCTTGGCTTTGAACCATTTAGGTCGGTTTTTGCAGATAAGGTGATAATTTTGTACTATTTGTTTCAATTAGTTTGTTGTCTATTCTATGCGAAATCCTGTCGATTATCGGACCGCGAAAATAGTGGTGTTTTGATAACTATTTAAGTTGGTATGTGAGCCTTAACCATGTACTTTTTGGCTGTAGTTCACCATTCAAGTTATAAAATTTCGAGACTGAAGTGACACCGGTTTGAAACTTCACGGCGTCAGATTACTCAGTAAATGTTCTAAAATGTGCGTCATTTTAAATTTGGACTCGTTGAAATGCTTCTAGGGACCTCTAACTTACTGCCTGGCGTCAGAGAAAGGCTTTTAATTGGCCTTTGAATGATTTTTTATTGTTTTAAATTGGCAAGTAGTAGAATGAGTTGATTTTTTTTGCTAACTCGGTTTTCAAAAATCCAGTTATATAATAAAAAACACAAAAACAAACAAACAAAGAAAGCTTCAAAGTTAGGATAGAGGGCTCTTCGAACCCCCTTTCTTCAAAGATGCTTTTTGCCTGGATTATATTGTTGCAATTGCTAAAATAGGTCCAGCGTTCTGAACGATCTTAGTAATCTCGACGATTGCCACGTCGATCTTGAATATATTTTGTATGAAGTCATAACTGGAAAATGCTGTTGATCCACATATGCTGCTACTGTCACCTTGACGCTCACTCCTTTTTCGCCGACAAATCCATGTCGGGCGAATCCACATGTAATCGATGTTCTTTAAAGCTCATGGACCCAAACAACAACACTTTACAGTCATGTAATATACCTCGTTCTTTAATCCATGAATCCCAACAAAGCTGTTTAGTACGAAGCAGCCATTGTAATTTTAGAATATTTGGAGACTTTTAACCGGACTGCCCACCGCGGTAGCAGTACACTTACACGTACCTAGTTTTTACCAACAGGGTCTTTTTTGCATGAGCATGCGCGACCGCTGAACAAGCGATTTGCATGGAGGCTCACCACAGGGTCTGCCTTCATAAAGATGGCGCGTCTCAAAGCTATTATCGAGATTATTTTGCTCTTTGGTCTTGGCGAATGTGCTCGTGATTTAACAAAATGTGTACCCTGGGTTCCAGAGGATATTTTTTTCTCATTGATACTGATGGTTCGCGGCGAAGCCGCGTCAACGAGGAGCGAAGTACCGAGGATAGTCTACGAGTACTCCCCATTTTTCCTCATGGATAGTAGAGCGAGGGAAACGCGAGCGCGAGTGAAAATTACCCCACGCGGCGTGGTAGTCGCCTGCTGATCGTTATCAACCCACTCCTGAAATATGGCTAAATCAGTTATCCACAAATTATTGACAAAAATCCTCTACGGCATCGTGAAACAATTTACATCCGATTTATAGACAAACACTAAATAAAGAATATTTTGCTTGATATCTACCCATCAGCAATGCATTCTATGCCAAACGTTAAGGTTCTTCAAGGGGAATCAAGACACGAGTCGAGCGCCGAACGACAACAAGCAGCCATGTTCGTGTCAGACATCCTTGAGAAACTTGCTCTTTCACCTTGTTCAACGCATTCGTCTCCACTTTAAATCATCAGATCTTTACTTATTTTGTACAACGAAGATCTCTCCTACGTTCCTGCTACCATTTGAATCTCAAGCAAGCTTTTAAAGTGAAGAATTTGGTTCCTATGACTATTCACCACGGTGGCTGTCACTGGTTGTGTGCTCTTTATCAAGTCGCGGTCGCGCATGCTTACGCAAAAAAGACCCCTGTTCCCAAAATTAAGGTGATTTTTTCTTTGTTTAATTCGCACAACACAAATCTCCCGCAATGCTCTTCCCAGGCAAAGACAAGGCAGAAACGCCTGCGAGGGAGACTACAGAAGTCGTTAAAGTGCCCATCACCAAAAATTTTTTATTTTCTTATCTGAAACTATACCTTATTAAAATAACTTCTGCGAAAAAATTTTGCGATTTGAACAAAAGCCGATTTTTTTACAATTTTTTGAAAACGTTCAAATTGGCCGCCATTTTACACACCATTCGTCTTAGTCTTCTCTCGGAGTATGACGTCATATGACGTACTTTAAGGAACATGTGACTTTATCGCAGGTAAACATTGAAGAGTTCTGGCAGGTTTCTCTTCGTGAAAGTTCACTTTATCCCGTGCAAAAGGTCAAAATGCCAGAAAGGTGCGTTGCGGCGAGATGTAGCAATGTGTCTAACCCTAAGAAGGGAATTAGTATGCATAAAATACCGTTTTTTGGGTCGACTAACCCCACAGCCCAAAGAAGGCGAAAGCGATGGGTTGGCGTTGTGCTTTCGAAGAGGAAAGATTGGACTCCGGGGAAGACGTCCTCCTTGTGTTCGCTTCATTTTAGAGAGGACAACTTCAACTTTCGCCTGATTCGGATTTGAAACATTCACTGAGGTCCGACGATATAGGAACTTGTGTATTTTCTACAATACACGCGAAAGAAGAATCAGAGGAACCACCTTCCAAGAGGGAGAAGCGCATGGTAAGCAACCGACGCAAATGTGTGAAAATTTACCTATTACCACGTGCTTTTGGTGGTTTTACAAATGGCAAGGATTCAGACTCCTTTCCGATATATGCACAGAGTTACACACTTAATTTTCTTTCTTGTTTTTGTCTATAATTATAACAGCTTGTAAGATCTGCAAAGTCTCGTTTGAGAACACTCAACGAGTCTGCAACATCAACATGAGCTTTTGTAGTCCTTCATCAAGTACGCAGCTAGAAGTGGTAAGATGCTGTTGGATTTTTTTCTTTTTTTTTCGCTTTCGTCCTAGGCAGTCTTTTTGTGATCATAGGACATGGATCAATCCTGGTATGTGTAATTTGTATTATACATGTCTTTTAAGCTCTATATTCCATTTTAACTGTCCAAGACGAAAAACTGAACATAATTTTGCCTCCAATGTCAATTGTGTGTAGCATATGTCGAGTTTTTGTTAAACATGATTAATATTTGCTTGCATCATACTGAAAATTCAAGAAATTGTTTCTTTTGGCAGATCCTGACATTTACAGTAAATTTGTGAAAAATTCAAAGCTTTTCTTACAGGTCATGTACACTTACTGTAGATTCAATAGAACATCTATGATAATATCTATTCACTTTCACATCAGGAAAGTGCCTCACATAGGTCAAAGGCCCTGTTTACACTTGCCCCGTTGGAGATCCATGTTGTTGTTTTACTCTTAAGTAAATGTCTGAAACGAGTTTATTTTATTTTAATTACAATATTTCTATTTTTAGCTCACTTAGTATATGAGAAAGTAAAGAAAGCCCTGACCTCTGACAGCCTGAAGAAGGGAATCATGAAAGCATTCCTGTATGCCCAGACAGACTGCCTGGAAGGGTTTCATTCTGTCCTTAACTTCTTTGCACCCAAGATTATTGCTTATTCCTATCTTGGAATGTTCTGCAGGTAGGCTAAAATGTTACTTTTTGACTGTGTAATAGCATCTTATATATACCTCCCCTAGCATTAAAGACTCTACAGATTATTAATGGTTTATTTGCCAGTTGAACAATAGTGTATTATTTTTTGTTTGCTTGGCCAGGAAAATGAAACTTTTAAAATACTATCATTGCTCTTTAAATAAAAATATTAGCAACTTTTGATGATATGCATATTGTTCTCATGCTGTAGGCACATACTAGCTGCATTACATTTTAACTTCAATTTACACCGTGATGACAAAGTTAATCAAGATGGAAGTGTCTCGCTGAAAGTGACATTCCCCAAATTCAAGAATGGCGAAGCAACTGTGCGGAACCGCAAGATTGAGCCAAACTTTGGTATTTAACCACCATTCATCCAACAGTTAAAATAGCTTTCTGAGTATCATTCTACTTTTTTTGTTTCATACTTCTTCAAAAATTATTACCTTGTTTTCTTTCAATGAACATTTAGACTATGTTGGAGAACTCTTCAAGTTTTACATGACCCTAAGCAAACAGCAACTTCAAGATGCATGCAATGACATGAAGAAAATGGTTCCTCAGCCAATGAACAGCATGCTGGATAAACAGCCCAGGGAAGAGGCCATCAGGATGAGAGAAAAGAGGATGAACATGGTTACAACAGCTGTTCCCCCCACAGCGCCATCTGGTATGTTTTTTGGAACTTAAAGCAGCATTGTTTAAAATCTAAAGTTGTAGATTGATGACGGGTGAACCTAGTGAGGCTGATCAATTCCCTTGAGGGGAGGCTTGGTGATCAATCCCCTTATTTTTTAGCAAATGGTTTGAACCCAGGAGTCTTTTCATGCGTTGTTGTATGATTGTCTGCTTTAGTGTAGTCCTGAGGAGGACTTGTTTTTGTTTGCTGCTGTTTAGACAACCTGTGCAGAAGTCATTTCAGGGTCCTTTGCATAAGCAACGAATTATAATTAAATGAAGGTTCGCTCTGTCAGAAAAAGGAACATTTTATTCTATCATCTATCCTTATCTCAATACATTTTTTATTGCAGTGCCAAATCAGACATGGGGTGAACAAAGAGAACGGCCTGCAAGAGCACGCCCTGTTTGCTCTTTATGCAAGAAGCCAATGAGAGGACATAGTGCCGTCTTAGATTGTCCAAGAAACAATAAAGAATAAGACATTTTTATTCTGCATAAAAATGGAAGAAAAGTGATTTGTTATATAAACAGATGTGAAATACTAGGGAATCTTTACAGAAAAAAGTTGATCTCCTAATCTAGTCAGAAATTTTACTCAGTTATTGGCACTCTATTTTGAAATAAGTCATATTTAAGTCATATTATTGTCAACACTCCTAAAGAAATTTTTTTAAAATGACCACACATCAATCAATATCCCCAATTTTTTGGTTGTCCTGATTTCCAAGTTGAAAAGAATTTACTTTTTAGAGTGATTGCCGTTGGTCAAAAATCCCAAGGCCCATGGCATTTAATTGTCATCTTGAACGAAATGTTTTTAAAGGTTGGTATGTTTGTAGAGAAACCAGACAGCAGTTTCTACATGGAGCATAGAGATTTTGAACTGTTACCAAATAGCAAAGTTGACCACATGTCATTTGTCTTCACTACTGTTATTTACAGTTTAATAAAAGAGAAGATTGGAACTTCCCGATAAAATATTGATTTTAAAAATTAACAATAATTGGACAACGTTGAGCAAGATTTTGTGATTGTCAGTGGCGAGCAGATGAAAGCCAAACACTGAGGCAAATAATATTTATTATTGATCTGCGAGACACTGACAAATCACTATATTTTGCAATAACTGAGGTCAATAATATTGTTTTGTCATTCAATCACCAGTTTTTTTATTTGCAGCAAAGCAAAGTTGGATGACATTGTCCTTAAGTAGACCATCATTTGTAGGCAGTTATTTGCAGGTCACGTGGTGTGCACGCAGCTATTGAAAAGGAAAGAAAATTTGCAATGAATGATAATTACAATTCATTGAAAAAAAAGTTAGTTCCAAGTTTAAACTACAGGGGAATAGGTACAAGTCTCCTTAAATGGATGGAAATCAATGAAAGCAAATTGGCTTTTTACAACTTTGAAATAAATAACCTTAATTTCAAGTTCAGGCTCAAGATGTTCATAGCATTGAAAAAACTTGAAAAAAATGTGAAAAAATGTGATAAAAAAATTCATCATGTGGCCATACAACTTGTGACAGCCCCAAATTCCATGCTACCCTTACTTAAATGTACTCAGCTGCATTGACTAAATGAATGTCTGTAGGGGAACTTAATCTTCCTCTAACTGAAAACCAGCTAGTTGCTCGTCCTCCTTGGTAAGAAATGATTTCTGAATAGCAGCATATGCACAGGCAGGGAGTGGTATCCTTTTTTTCCCAGGTGTTCATAGACAAGTCTCGTAAACTCCCGGCAAGCAATTGATCGGAGATATCTACAACAAATGTAAAAGAAATGCTACTGCTGTAGAACAGATTTTATACGTCAATATCAGTGTTACATTAAAGTTGTACAAGTAACCCCGAGAAGTAAAGAAAATGAAGGGTTCTTCGCGGACAACTTCACTCGACATGGGCCTCAACACAACCTTCCAGCTCCTTGCAGCAATAGCATTCACTAATGTGTATGAACAGATTACTGCTACAAATTCCACAAGTACACGTAAACGTAAAATATAGACGCGAGTAATGCCGCAAACATTGAAAAGCTTCTAAACTGACTCGAGAGCAATGTAGAAGATATATAGTTCTTTTGTTGCTGCTGAACGTTCGAAGCAGTAGCCCGCAGAACTATCAAGAAAACTTACCAGTCAGCCACACGAACGCCGTTTTCAAGACTCTTTTCCAGCTCTTCTAAGTTCTTCCAACTGATCTCTTTCAGCTTGTTCACACCGACTGTTTTGCAGCCATTGATCAGCTAAAGGCTCGTCTGCGTACGGCTCGAGCCAATCGTCTTGTATGTTGTTTTCTGTTTCTCATACGACCGCTTCTACCTCGATGGTCTCGTCTTCACTTCTTGATTTTTCACTTTCTGTTTCAAAACAACTTTCTTCTTGCGAAGACATAGCGATTCAATCCTTACTTGTAATCGATCTTTTTTGTGTACAGCTAGTGAAGGCAAGGTAAAGCGAGTTCCTTAATTTACGTCACATGACGTCATAGCCGAGCCTGCAAGTTTGCGTGATCAGCGGCGCGGGTGTACCGCAAAAATGTAGACTTCAAAAAATTGTAAAAAAATCGGCTTTTGTTCAAATCGCAAAATTTTTTCGCAGAAGTTATTTTAATAAGGTATAGTTTCAGATAAGAAAATAAAAAATTTTTGGTGATGGGCACTTTAAGCAGCGTGAGTTCGTCAATCTGACCTATGTGATCTACCTTTTTTCAGTCACAAATAAAACATATTAATTATTCATTGATAATATTTTCAAACTTTTGGTGTTGGAAATTTTTCTTTGTCTTATTTTTGTAATTTAGGGTGTTCCGGGGGTTCCATCCTATCAGAGGGATGTTCCGGGGTGTTCCAGGGTGTTCTAGGGATTTTCGGGATGTTCTGGGTCGGTGTTTTCTGGGGTGTTCCGAACCTGTTCCTGGTTTTACAGACACGCCATTCTACTGGCTGAAATCCTTAAAATATTTCATCAGGTCAAAATAGTTTCAATAGGCGCTATTCTGTAATGTTATATTAAGACGTGCAGTTTGATTAACTGCAGCCAACAAGAAAACATACATACATACATACATACGTACATACATACATACATACATACATACATACATACATACATACATACATACATACATACATACATACATACATACATCCATCCATCCATCCATCCATCCATCCATCCATCCATACATACGTACTTACGTACGTACGTACATACATACATACATACATACATACATACATACATACATGCATACATTTGAATTGTTTCCAGTTCTCTGATTAGCTAATACCATTATTTTCGCGCTATTGATTGGCTCGATTTACTGAACTAGTTTGAGCCGTCATCATGGTAACTGAGTACGTTAGGTAATCACAATAACGGATTTGCGAAAGTATTAATAGTGGATGTTTACTAATGTTGGTTAGGTATTGTGTTTTGGTGTGGATATTGTTCAATGTCGTTTCAATCGTTTGCAGGTATTGCCTCATTTAGTGATAGCTCCACTCCAGTGTTCGTACTGATTTTTGAATCCAAAATTCAAGACTTCTTCCAGACTTTTTTTCCAAAACAATGATTTCTTTTTCCAGACACAAGATTATCAAATAGGTGATCAAAGGAGAACTTAAAAACCTTAGGAAGCAAATGTTTTCTTTATGATGCGCTTCAAACGCACGGGCGAGATTGAATAAGATTTGACCAAAACGAAAAAAAAATTCACTTATCAAGAACTTGTTGCTAGCTTTGAAAAAAAAAAACAAAAAAACAAAAAAAGAACTTTTTGCCATTTTTCCAGACTTTCTCTCCATTTCCCAAACTCTTTTACAGGTATGGAAAATTGCTGGACAAATTTCAAGACTTTTTTAAAGAATTAAAGTCTTAGTACGAACCCTGCCACCCGCAATACCAAGAAACTTTGAATCTTTTAAAGGAACTTTGCTCTTACCATAAGGACATGCGTGACAGTCAGTTGGGGTTTTGCCAGGATGACGTTCCTCTGAAACATAAGTGCCTGTGCTACAATTCTTGCAGGAGATCTGTCCCATTTCGCTTTGGTAAAAGCCTCCTAAAATCAATCATAGCGTATAGAATTGTTTTAGTCCAGGTTTGCAACATTTAAGAACAGTTTGCTAGACTGTTCACAGCAAATATTTTCTGGACGAAAGCAAAGACGGAAATTAGGGGGAACTTGGTAATTAATATAAGGGACCTTTCTTTTTCAGTTGCTCAGACACAGTCACTGGCCTCACAGCTGAAACAAGACATTTGAAACGTATAATTGAAGTATACTTTACAAGAGGTATACTTCATGCATATTACTAATTTTCACTGGTTAATTAGTATCAAGAAATTGAAGCGCTGAGCTTCAACTTGGGAGTGAAACATGCAAATTGGGTTTGTTAAGATTTCCGGATAACCCCATACATTTATTAGGCACCCAGCAATTTCATACTTTTTCTCACAAATGGCTTAATATGAATAGAGTCGAAACATGTATGCATAATAAATGTATGGGGTTACACGGAAATCTTATACCTTAGGTTTTACCAACTGAGACCTGGACAGGTTTAATACTCCAACCCACGTACCACATTTTCATGTTTTGCTTATATTAACTAGGAGTAATCGGCGCGCGGAGCCTAGTAGAGTGCGTTCGATATGTTTGTTAGGCGTACAGGTAGCAGTTGAGGGGGAAGATAAAATATGATTATGGAATATTTTGAACGTAAGTGTTGCGTACAGTGAAACCTCTATTTAAACTCTGTATCATTATGAAAAAATTTTGGAGGCTAGTGATATCGTATGGTTCGTCTCAAGTGAGGGTCCACAATAGGTTTGGCGGGATGCGGGATTTGGCTATTTTTCGTAGTGATGCTCGGGATGCGAGCTGAAAACAGGAGCGGGATGCGGGAATTTTAATAACCAGCGGGAGCGGGATTTCCTATTTCTATGGGGATGGGATGCGAGAATTGTAAGGGAAAAATAATAGGATACGGGAATTTAGTTTTGTCTTGACAAAAAATTTATTAACGTTGACTGAAAAACAGTGTTTTTTTAGTGTGTATACCGCCTTTGTAGTCAAGCTATGACTCTCAAAGGAAGTGAAGCCTGTCAAATTTTGCCCATTATCACCTTTTGTGTGTTGTTCGTCTTTTCCGGTTTTGCTATTTTAGTTGTTTTTGTCACTCGGAAAGAGGTATCAAGTCACTGATTCCTGTTTTGTTGACGGATTTGACCTTTTCTGCTTTTGCCTGGACGGACCTGTCGGACCTGGACGATTCTTTGGACTTAGCGTTTGTTAAGTAATTCTGGCCATGATATGGCTACACCAGCACCGATGGAAGTGGACAATCACGACAATGTGGTAGACATCATAAATTGTGTGGCTCTGTATTATGAAAAAAGGTGCCAGTGGGAATGCGTTTCTCCGGAAAGGAAAATTTAGAGCTACGGCTTCAAGGCAAAGTCTTAAAAGAAACAGTCCGGTGAGTCGACCTGAGTTTAAGAGTTCAAGAGAACTCAAGAGAAGTCTGAGTTTCAACGAGCTCAATAGCCTTGTATTGTACCTGGAATATCAATGGACTTTGTGCCCCGCGCTACGGTGGTCGTCAAGGGTAGCCACTTTAGATGGAGAAGCAAACTTGCTGCTTGGAAGGGTGTCCGCATTTGTTAGTGCGATTCAATTCCATAGCAGGTTTATGTTTTCATAAAAGAGACCATTTTCTCAGTCTTTACAACCAGTGTCTTTATATACATTTTCCATGTCCTACACTCCACATAAACAATTGAAAGAATTGGCTTCATCGCCTCATGGAAACTGGCAGCAAAGCGGTCGAATCATCGTGAGACAGACAGATAACATCAATCTCAGTTAGGTAGTACCTAACTCCAAAAATACAGGACTTAAAATACCGAAGTAAAAATGTACCGATGCGCGAACGAAAAAATAAGCAAAACAGAAAATAAAGTTATGAAAAAAAAAAAAATGGGTTGGGATCGGGATTCGGGCGCAAAATAGAGCGGGATGGCGGGATTCAGAGGAAAAAAGGCGGGAAAGCGGGATTTGAGAACCCCTATTGTGGACCCTCTCAAGTGCTTGCAATTTTAGGAGACACTGGCCAGAGTGTGTGTCGGGTGTGTAAATATAACTTTTTGCTTTACTGGTGCAATAGATGTTCTACGGGGGCCGATTAGCACTTAACCCGGGTTTCCTTTTCTTCTGTTCAAAAACAATTCTTCGGATAATTTTCTCTGTTATTTTTAAGAGCATCCAATCATCAACTTGTTGACAAAATGAATTAAACTGAATTTAATTTTAAGCTTTCACATCTGAATTCAAATTTCGCACTAACCCTGGGTTACCTTAACCCAGCTTTGAACGACCCGGCCCAGGTATTGTTAAAAAGCAAACAGTTGGCAACTTTTTAGATGTAATCATTAATTATATTTATTGGGAATTCCACATGTAGGCAATTACTGAAATTGACTATAAAATAACACCGTTACCGGCAAGTCTCAACTTGTGTTGATATTAAAGACCCACAATGAATTGGGTTTGAACACTGAAACTACACCTCTCAATTTCACACGTTTCAAGGGAATCATCAAAGCCTTCAGCCGGAATGTGTGTGCTGCTCACTTCAATAACTTTTCCGGTAATTTGGTCGAGTGTGTTGATTTTAGTGACTTGAGTGGCGCTACTGTGGGCTGGTTTATAAGTTTTTCCGAATAAATAACATAGAGCTAAAGTGTTCGTTTGTCCGGTGCCGAAAATATAACAAGTTATGTGGCGCCGCCGAGCTAAACAACCCGGTTTGATGCATGCACCAGGAGTCGCACACATTTTCTAAAGACAGTGACGACACGTGCTGAAAAATATGAAGGCTTAATCCAAAGTAAAATTTTAGTACTCAGGGTGTTTTTCTTCAGCAAACGTTTGAAAGAGGGCAGAGGACACACGAATTGAATGAGGGTGCCAGCTAGTGGGGTTAGCAGTTAACTGATATTAGGACAAAAAATAGTAGTTAACTTATAGTTGGCCAAAAAATTAGAAGTTAACCGAGAAATGAAAAGTTAACAGTGAAGTGATATTCTATGGGTTATAATGAATACGATCGTTGATTTTAATGAAAGCAATAAATTTGTGCAAACAGACATGCTTTTTTCTGACTTTTTTCTCTCAATTCCGCTGTGGCGTATTAACTGAATCAGATATTTTTATGTGCAAAAGGCATCAGGGCAGTACCCGACAAGCAGAAAGCCCTTGGCACAGTCTATGTTCGGGAAAGGAAAAGAGTGATTTTATGGACCCAAAAGATGAGTGAAACGTTGCTACTCAAAGAAGAACGCTGTGACTCTTTGCATTGGATCTGGTCAAAAAGAAATTCTGATGTCTCAAAAAAATCAGCCATCTTTCCTTTAAGTACATGGAATTTTTACTAACGTGAAATCGATGATTTTTGTAACTGATTTTGGGTTGCAGTTCTGATTTATCGAGACTATTAAGCTCGTGTTTAAACCGGTGTGTCTGAAACAGTTTCGTTTCCTATCGAGGTACAAAAGAAATGCCTCTATCAACGTAGGTGGAAACCCTACACGTAGTTTCCCACTTCAGCACAAAACATTTAGTACTTTGAACTACGCCCAAGACTTTGGACCTACAGGGAAGGAATCACTTAAAAGACTTAAAAGAATTAGGCCGAGAATTCGAAATGGCTAGGCTACCGACTCACGAAAAGTCGAATTGTCCATTGTCAATTCTTTCATACCTTCGTCAGAACTCTCAACTATGTCTCTCCCATCGGTGCAAACAGTGACAAAAAGAAGATGAATTTGTAAAGAGGGACTGGATAGAGAATTTTCGACTGTTTGGCAACGAACTATAGGAAAAGAATTAACTCAAGATAAAGCGTCACGGGACTATATATGTCATGCTATTTGCTATCTTTTTAAAAAGTTAAAACGGTTTTTTTTTTAAACAATTTTATTCCAAAAATAGTGGTTCAGTTTTGTTATTTAAAAAGATATTTTGGCATTGATATTGTTTCCCGACGTGATTTGTTGCAATGGATTGCAAGGATTGAAAATGGATTGAAACTTAGGCCAACAACTATATATCTTTTTAAAAAGTTAAAAATTTTTTTTTTTCATCAATTTTATTCCAAAAATAGTGGTCCAGTTTTATTATTTAAAAATATATTTTGGCATTGATATTGTTTCCCGACGTGATTTGTTGCAATGGATTGCAAGGATTGGGGGAAATGGATTGAAACTTAAGCCAACAACAACATACAGGACATACAGCAACCAGATAAGTACGAGACTGATTCAGATAATGAAAGTGACAAAGAAGGTGACTTTGAAGATCAGTATGAGATTATGACTGGTGCGTCTAGATCTATGAGGATGACGTCATATTGATGGTTTAGGGGTGATAATAGGTATCGCTTACCCATTTTTACTTTTTCGGTTAAATAATTTAATTTTTCTTTTAAATTTTTGTTCTTTTCTCCATTTCAGTTACTTATAAATTGCACTAGCGGTGTAGTTCAGCTAATTCATGTAAGTGTTTACCCTGATTTCAGTAGGGCCTACCCCTAAAAGTGATTGACGTGCTGAAGTAAAGAAAATTCGGATTATAACGGAATAAAACTCGCAATAGAAAAGTGAAACTTGATAGCTAACCAAAATTAGTAGTTAACTGAGAATTGGCCGAAAAAATAGCAGTTCACTGATATTTGGCCAAAAAACTAGTAGTTAACTGAGAATTGGGTACCCCCATTAGCACCCTCACGAATCACTACGTGAGGGACGGTTAGGGCGTCAAAGTGAGGCAAATCGTAAGCAAGTGTCTAGCCTGTTCCAGGCGTTCAGATAGTGGGGAGCGGTTCGAAGTAAAAAGGAGGGTGAAAATAAAAGCGAGGGAGGGGGAGAGGTGAGAGAGGGAACGCCTGTAAGATTTGTTTTAAATAGACCCTTCCGCCCACTCAGACCGCATCAGCTGTAGGTGGTCTTCACTTGTCAATCAAGACTGGTGTTACAGCCC